GACAGGAAAGGGGCTTTCTACCGGCCGAAGGGGAATTCCTAACCTATGACAAAATGCACGATCAATAAAATTCCCAGCTGCGCCTGAATCTACTAGACGCCTTATGCTGGGAAATGAGGTGCCACCATTTGGAAATCTCACAGGAATACTCATGTGACCAAACAGAGAGCTCTGGGTAAGTGGGGCGCCTACTCACCTGAAATGACTCCCCAGTGCGTGACCTGTTTGTCCCCTCTCCCAGGAGACCCTCCCACAGCACTGGCCGCGGTGTGTCCTCCACGGCCACAGTTGGTGCAGGGGATGGCCCCCTCGGTTCTCTCTCCTCCTCTCTCTAGCGCCAGCACCCCGAGCTCCATGGGAATCGGCTCGGAGGTGCTGGAGGGTGGAATGGAGACCCCCACTCGGTACGTCCGCGGGTAGCCAGCAGGGTTGTCGAGACGGATGGAGATGTCCACCAAACTGGTCGAAGGATAGGTTGGTGTCCCTGCAGGCCAGCTCACGACGAACGTCCTCTCGTAGGCTACACCGGTAATGGTCGATGAGGGCCCTCTCATTTCACCCGCATCGCCGCTAGAGTCCGGAACTCCAGGGCGAACTCCTGTGCCGCCTCTCTTCCCCTGTCGGAGGTGGAACAGACGCTCCCCCGCCGCCTTTCCCTCAGGTGGGTGATCGAAGACAAGGCCTGAAGCGGCGGGGAGAACTCTGCGTAGGTGATGGTAGCGGCGTCTATTCCCCTCCATTCGGCGTTGGCCCACTCCAACGCCTTGCCGGATAGAACAGGAGATGAGGGCGGAGACGCTCTCGTATCCCGAGGGCGCTGGGTGTAGGGTAGCCAGGTAAAGTTCCAACCTGCAGGAGGAACCAACTGACACCCGGCTGCAGAACCGTCATATGCCCTCGGGAGCGAGAGCCGAATGCCCCTGGGTTCCGGTGCTGAGAGAGGAGGACTGGCCGTTGGTGATGGGATGGTGTAAGAGGACGTGGGCACCTCCCCAGTAACCAACCGGCGCAGAGTGTTGGACACCTCGTCCATGGCGGACCCAAGTTGCCGGATCATGGTGTCCTGATAGCTGATCCGTTCCTCCAGCGACTTGGGTGTCGCAGCTGCTCCTGCTGACTCCATGGTCGGTGTGTTGTTCTGTCAGTAGAACCGATGTGGATGTGGTGGAGGAGTCAGGCGCAGGACACAGCGCTTCGTCCAACAGACTTTACTAGTCAAAAGTGCTAAATTACAATACACGGCCTCGAAAACAAACAGAGGCGAGTGAATACGTAAACCATGCGTAAACACTAAACAAAACAAACAGAGCGTCAAAACGCAGCTCCGAAAATACAGGCAGACAACAACACACAATCTAACCAATACCAAACAGGGAACTTATAGGACACGTAATCAGAACACAAACAGACACAGGTGTACAAGACAGACCAAAGCAATCATACCACGAAACATTCAACGGTGGCAGCTAGTGCTCCGGGGACGGCGAAACGCCGAAGCCTGCCCGAACCAGGAGGAGGAGGAGCCTCGGCTGAAACCGTGACATTGACACATTTTCATATGAAAACAATGTATATTTTTATTTTTAAGTACATTTTGAAGACCGACACACAGAGCAGAACATTTCAGGTCTTCTGAGTGCAAACTTGAACAAGTATTTGATACCACTGCTGACTTTGCAGGTTTACATACTTATAAAGCATGTAGAGGTCTGTAATTTTTATCATAGGTTACACTTCACATTGTATGATTTTTAAGTAATTAATTTGCATTTTATTGCATGACATAAGTATTGATACATCAGAAAAGCAAACTTAATATTTGGTACAGAAACCTTTGTTTGCAATTACAGAGATCATACGTTTCCTGTAGGTCTTGACCAGGTTTGCACACACTGCAGCAGGGATTTTGGCCCCCACTCCTCCATATATATATATATATATATATATATATATATATATATATATATATACAGTGAGAGAAAAAAAGTATTTGATCCCCTCTGATTTTGTACGTTTGCCCACTGTCAAAGAAATGATCAGTCTATAATTTTAATGGTAGGTTATTTGAACAGTGAGAGACAGAATAACAACCAAAAAATCCAGAAAAACGCATGTCAAAAATGTTATGAATAGATTTGCATTTTAATGAGGAAATAAGTATTTGACTCCTCTGCAAAACATGACATAGTACTTGGTGGCAAAACCCTTGTTGGCAATCACAGAGGTCAGACGTTTCTTGTAGTTGGCCATCAGGTATGCACTCATCTCAGGAGGAATTTTGTCCCACTCCTCTTTGCAGATCTTCTCCAAGTCATTAAGGTTTGAAGGCTGACGTTTTGCAACTCGAACCTTCAGCTCCCTCCACAGATTTTTTATGGGATTAAGGTCTGGAGACTGGCTAGGCCACTCCCAGGAACTTAATGTGCTTGTTCTTGAGCCACTCCTTTGTTGCCTTGGCCCGTGTGTTTTGGGGTCATTGTCATGCTGGAATACCCATCCACGACTCATTTCAATGCCCTGGCTAAGGGAAGGAGGTTCTCACCCAAGATCTGACAGTACATGGCCCCGTGCATCGTCCCTTTGATGCGGTGAAGTTGTCCTGTCCCCTTAGCAGAAAAACACCCCCAAAGCATAATGTTTCCACCTCCATGTTTGATGGTGGGGATGGTGTTCTTGGGGTCATAGACAGCAATTCTCCTCCTCCAAACACGGCGAGTTGAGTTGATGCCAAAGAGCTCGATTTTTTGTCTCATCTGACCACAACACTTTCACCCGTTCTCCTGTGAATCATTCAGATGTTCATTGGCAAACTTCAGACGGGCCTGTATATGTGCTTTCTTGAGCAGGGGGACCTTGCGGGCGCTGCAGGATTTCAGTCCTTCACGGCGTAGTGTGTTTACCAATTGTTTTGTTGGTGACTATGGTCCCAGCTGCCTTGAGATCATTGACAAGATCCTCCCGTGTAGTTCTGGGCTGATTCCTCACCGTTCTCATGATCATTGCAACTCCACGAGGTGAAATCTTGCATGGAGCCCCAGGCCGAGGGAGATTGACAGTATTTTGTGTTTCTTCCATTTGCAAATAATCGCACCAACTGTTGTCACCTTCTCACCAAGCTGCTAGGCGATGGTCTTGTAGCCCATTCCAGCCTTGTGTAGGTCTACAATCTTGTCCCTGACATCCTTGGAGAGCTCTTTGGTCTTGGCCATGGTGGAGAGTTTGGAATCTGATTGATTGATTGCTTCTGTTGACAGGTGTCTTTTATACAGGTAAACAAGCTGAGATTGAGGAGCACTCCCTTTAAGAGTGTGCTCCTAATCTCAGCTCGTTACCTGTATAAAAGACACCTGGGAGCCAGAACTCTTCTGATTGAGAGGGGGTCAAATACTTATTTCCCTCATTTAAAATGCAAATCAATGTATAACATTTTTGACATGCGTTTTTCTGGATGTGTTTGTTGGTATTCTGTCTCTCACTGTTCAAATAAACCTACCATTAAAATTATAGACTGATAATTTCTTTGTCAGTGGGCAAACGTACAAAATCAGCAGGGGATAAAATACTTTTTTCACTCACTGTATATATATATATATATATTATATATATATATATATATATATATATAGATATATATATATACATGTGTGAAGGCATGTATTAGATATTATGGAGAGTATTGGATAGAATATTTAGTACATCTGAAGAATACGTGGCTAAAATAGTATATGTTCCACAACAGTTCAATAGGATGGACATGACTAGAATACAGTATATACATATGAAATAGTAAAACAGCATGTAAACATGATTAAAGTGACTAGTGTTCCATTATTAAAGTGACCAGAATTCCATGTCTATGTACAGTGCCTTGCAAAGGTATTCATCCCCCTTGGTGTTTTTCCTATTTTGTTGCATTACAACCTGTAATTTAAATGGATTTTTATTTGGATTTTATGTAATGGACATACACAAAATAGTCCAAATTGGTGAAGTGAAATTAAAAAAATTAAAAAAAATTAATAACGGAAAAGTGGTGCGTGCATATGAATTCAGCCCCTTTGCTATAAAGCCCCTAAATAAGATCTGGTGCAACAAATTACCTTTAGAAGTCACCCAAAATTTGTTAAATAAAGTCCCCCTATGTGATAAAGGTCACTGATCTTCACATGATTAGTATATTACAACCCGTTCTGAAA